TTTCATTTGAAACACACACACACACACACACACACACACACACACACACTGTATAAAGAAGACACACATACACATCTGTCAAAGTAGAGACTAAGTGCAACAAAGCCGTAACATGAACCAGCAGGTTCCTTCACATAGATAAAAACATGATGCAGGAGGATCAATCTCAGATGCAGCAACGATCAGGATAAAAAAAGAAGCTAAAAAAGCTGCAGTATTTCTAATTGGAGCTGCTTTAGCTGTTCTATACTGATATACAGGGTACCTGAGTTTCTGTCTCTATTCAGACAGTGAAAAGGACGGCACATAACATCCACATGTGTGAATGAAGTTATGGTCGTTGCCACTAAACTTGAAGATGAAACTTTTCAGAAGTTTCAAGCAGATGAGATGAATGTTACTTTGTTCAGCTTGGGACTTTATTGGCATTAACTTGGCCGGCATTAACAGACAGAGTGTTTGGAGCTGCATGAATGTTAACATGCCTGTGGATACACCAGAACACTAGCTTACAGAATGACTTTTCAGTCTGCAGTAATGACCCAAAGCAGGCTTTCAGAATTAACCGAGATTCCTTATTTCATTCCTTATTAAGGAGGGGGGAAAAGAAGAAAACTATAACACGCTCTGATTTTAGTAGAATATTCAACACTGCTATCAGAAATCATTCAGGAGGCTGAGAGGCGAAACTGCTTTTAAATCCTAAAGAGGTCCAGCTGCCTTCTATGATGACATTGATGACTGAGAACCTACACAGACATTTATATTGGGGGTGTTCTCTTCTTGTACAGTCAATAGATGATATAAGAAGATATAGTATATTTTGACTATATATAGTCAAAGTATACCTTATAGTCAATAAAGTATATTTAAAGAGAGAACAAAAGTTAAAATATTGTTAGATCTTTTCTTCACTCAAAAGATTGTAAATTAATTTTGCTCTCTAGTTTAATGTGGTTCTGTCTTGGTTTTGTCATCAGGTGGGTGTGGTTATGAGCAGTCCCATGGCTGGCTCCGCCCCCTCCAGCTCTAAAGACCGTCCAGCTTCCAGGATCAATTTTATCCCAGAGCTACAGAGCATGATGTAAGACACACACACACGCGCACACACACACACACACACACACACACACGCAAACAAACAAAGAGAAGGAGTCTCACCCCAGTACAGCATTGGGCTGGGGCTGCTGAACAGACTGTTTGAAGCCATGGAAACCTGTTTTTTAAAGGAGAGAGCCACAATATTAGCATTGTGGTTAATGACACTTTGCAAATCCAAAACAGATGCCTGAAAACAGCACATAGCCCTTCATTTCAATATTTTATATAACACATTTGTACAAAGAGTTCAGAAGAATTTCAAGAAATTAATTTTTTTTTAATTGCTAAAGTATAACTTTAAGTAACATTTGGTTTTATGTCAAGCAAAACAAACGAAAAACAAAAACATAAAAGTATGAAATTAAATGGCTCATATCCAGAGACATGAGCCACGAGTGATAATCAGTTCAGACTTGAAGCCTCTAGACATTTAGTTAACCTTTACATTCACAACCAGTCAATATGACTGATGGAAAAAAGTACTGCTCTGCACAAAAGGAAAAAAAGAAAACTAATTAATATTCCTACAAATTCACAGTAAGTGACAGTAGGTCAGTATATACAGAATGTAATGTTTTATCAGTTTTTATTAGCAACTCTTTCATTATTAGTTTATTTCTAGGTTAAAATAATCACATTCTGTTGTATTAAGTGACAAGAAACTCCATATATTTAGATTTTGGACCTTTTAGTTAGAAAAGAAGAAATAATCAGGAAGGTTCAGCATTAATAAATAATCGGCATTTTTCACCATTTTCTGAAATCATCCTGTCGAGGAAATAATTAGTGGATAAATCAGTGAAAGTGGAAAAAGATCTTTAAAAATAAAAATGTAGTTAAAAACACCTGTTAAAAGCAACTGTTAGTTAAAACTGTTAGTTAAAGTTAAAAACAACTGGACAATCCGGTACCATAACAAATTACTTTTTGACTTAATTTCTAATATGAAGTCACTTTTTCTGCTTAGGTTTTTTAGAAGTACTACACGTAAAACTGTCATATTTAAATTCTTACTGAAGGATTTTTTTTTTCTAAAGAAGCCACATGCCTGCTGCAGCCTCCTTTGTGTTGTGTGCCTTTTGCTGTACTCACCTTGTGTGGGCTGCAGAGAGGTGATGCTGGTGGTCAGAGAGGCTAAAACCAGACTAAACCCCAAAACCTAAAATCAACCTAAAGTCTGAAGCCAACCTCCGAACCTGAGGCCAACCTGCCCACAACCCCAAACCAAAACCTCTCTCACCTGTATGACAGAGCAACAAACAACCAATCAGGGAGCAGGTTAAAGGGCCGGGGGGCAGAGATTAAGCAAGGGGAATGGTGGGGGTGGCGATCAGGTGTTTGTATTTCATAGAGAAATAAAAGGAGAGAGTGGGAAAGAGAAGAAATGAGAGAAGGAAAGCGCTCCAGGATGTGGGTTTACGTTAGTCTGCCATCATGGAAGTGGCTTTCTGGATGCAAATTGAGGTTTTGACCAAATTGTGGTCAAGGTGTATGTGTGGCCTGTTGACCTTAGTGTGTGTGTGTATGAGAGAGAAACAGAGACATACACAGACACATTTACTGGCTGCATGTTTATTTGGAAAGTAACCAAAACTTCAGCTCTGCCTTGTTTTTAGACAATAAATCATGTTTCTGTTCAGTTTAGTAACAGTTAATAGTTTAAAAAAGAAGTTTCTTTAATACCGTACAGATTAAGAACTGCTTTTCACCTTATGAAGATTCCTTTACTTATGTAAAATGTTTATAAACAAGCAGTCACACCAGATTTTTAACAAATCTGAGCTGAACTGAATCTCACTACCAACTTAAAGTATCTGCTAATTTTTCTCCTGCTATGTTTCAGTTAGTACCAAAACAAGTTTTAATATCCAGCTACATTTAATTTGGATGCAATTGAAGGTATTTAAAGTAATGTGTGAGACGCATCCTTTAAAGGACTAAAGTCATCTGAGAAAGCGCGTTTTACAGTACCTGTAAAAAAGTAAGTACGCCCCACTTTTAGCAGCAATAACTTGATTTAATTGATTTCTGTATGACTTCATCCGTCTGTCATATTCTTCACAGCATTTCACTTGAGTTGAGGTCTGATCCATTACAGCAGTTTGATTCTCGTCTCTTTCAGCCATTGTGCTGTAGTTTTGCTGCTGTGCTTGGAATCATTGTCCTGTTGCATGACCCAGTTTCAGTCGGGTTTTAGCCATCTGACATGACCTTATACTTAACCCCAGAATACTTTGAAATAGTTCACAGTCAACTCAATGGCTGCAAGGTGCCCAGGTACCCCCGTACTTGATTTGTTTGGCTTTCTCCAAACGTGGTGCTGTGCGTCATTGCCAAACATCTTCACTTTGGTCTTGTCTGTCCAAACAGGATTGTTCCAGTCTTGTGGTTTGACTGCCATGTTCTCTTTTTTGAGGGGTTTTCTCCTGGTAACCCTTCCAAACAAGCCAGTCTGTTTCTAATTATTTGCAAGTGTTAGTGGTTTATGGTGAGAATAAAAATGAAGGTAATGTCCTGTAATGACAGTGTTGAATGTGAGCATCTTTGTATGCCTCTTTAAATTACTAATAAAATATCTCACCATTCACAGGTTTTAGCTGTTGTATAGTTAGTAACGATGTGTTATTCATAATTTATTTATTTTGGGTAAATTTCTGTGTTTTTATAAGGCATTTTTTTCTTGTTTGGTAAATAAAGTACTTTGCTTCTTGTCAACTGGAAGAGGCTTCAGCCTCCCTGAAACCTTTGGGTGAATAAATGGTTTTTAAAAAGGGATGGATGATAGAATATATATACTTGCTGTAAAACTATTCTTACAGGTGTTATAATGTACAAAATATATACTTAGAATATATAAGTATGTTTCTCTGCAGGAAATCCACTCTTTAAAAAAAATCATACTATATATTTAGCTTTTTTGTTACTTATTATGATTAATTATGTAATATATTTACCTTTTAAATAACAGTGTATAAATACAGTAATTTTAATTTTGTGAAGGTGGTAAGAGGCAGGCTTCATTAATGGAAAATGATAGAAGTAACCCGTTAGATAGTTAGAAGTGATCTTTCAGAGCAGCAGTGTAAAATGAGTGCTGTTAGCACAACCGGCGCTATGTTTAAGAAACGTTAATGAGTTATGACTTTAGACTTTAACAGTTAGCAGCTCTTTAACACATGGCAGTGTAATTAGATTCGACTGATGCACTGGAAGCTCTGCAAGGCTCTGCACAACTATGATTATAGCTGTGTTTGATTTTCAGGTTTGCTCTGGGAGACGCTCGCAGGCCTTTGCAAGAGACTGCAGCGCTGGTGGAGGATATTGTACACACACAACTCATTACTATGGTAACATACAACATAACAAATATAACGCTGTAACAGTTATCTATTCAAACTTCAAGATCAAAGCCTAAACCACCTGAAGAGCTAATTACAGGCTGAACAATAGTAAAGCACAT